CCCTTCTTTTGAGATGGAGTCTTGGTCTGTCCACCAGGCTGGAGTGCAGTGGCGTGATCTCGGCTCACTGCAACCTCTGCCTCCTGGGTTCAAGCGATCTCCTGCCTCAGTCTCTCGAGTAGCTGGGACTACAGGAGCTTGCCACCATGTCCAGCTAATTTTTGTATTTTCAGTAGAGACGGGGTTTCACTGTGTTAGCCAGGATGGTCTTGATCTCTTTACCTCGTGATCTGCCCGCCTTGGCCTCCCAAAGTGCTGGGATTACAGGCGTGAGCCATCGTGCCTGGCCCACATTTCCTCTTCTTATAAGGCCACTAGTCATATTGGATTGGGGCCCATCATAACAACCTCATTTTAACTTAATAAACCTCTTAAAGACCCTATCTCCAAATACAGTCACATTCTGAAATATCAGTGTTAGGGCTTCAGCATATGAATTCTAGGGGACATGATTCAGGTATATACTAGGAGTGGATTTCCTGAGTCAATAGGGTATGCCTATGTTTGGCTTTAGATACTCCCAAAGTAAGTGCACAAATTTCCATCCTGACCAGAAATGTATGAGAGTTCTGATTACTCCACATCTTTACCAATACTTGCTATGGACAGTCTTTTTAATTTTAGCCATTCTGATGTATCTCATTGGTGGTTTTGTTTTTTTTTAATATCATACTATCCAGTTTATTCTTTAACTTGCATAATGGTTATCTGAAATCAGGCTTAATTACTAGAATGGCTGATTCTTCTCTATCCAATCTTTTTAAATTTATTTTTTAATTGACAGGGAAAAATAGAATATGTTATGGTGTACATCACAATGTTTATATATTTATATATTGGAATGGGTAACTTATTAACTGTAGTCACCATAGTGTACAATAGATGTCTTTAATTTATTCCTCTTGTCTCACTGGAATTGTGTGGCAAAGTCTTTGTCTCTCTGCATTTCTGAAGGACACATTTTCTGAATAAAGTTTTCTCAATACTTGGAATGTATCATCCCACCCTCTTCTGACCTGTAAAATTTCTGCCTTATTGGAATTTCCTTATATGTGGTTTGCTCCTTTTTTGTTGTTGCTTTCAGGATTCTCTCTTTGTCTTTGATATTTGACAGTTTGATTGTAATGTGTCCTCATATAGTCTTGTTTGAATCTAATCTGACTAGCGATCCTTGATCTTCTTGTACGTGGATATTTACATCTTTCCCCAGATTTGGAAAGTTTTTTGCTATCATTTCTTTAAATACACTTTCTTCCATTTTGTCTGTCTCTTCTCCTAGTTACCCACATCAGAAATTTGGTAATCATCCTTGAATCCTCTTAGTCCTTTACCAAACATAGCTAATTATTTACCAAATCATGTGCATTCTATCTTCTAAACTTGTCCCTTCCTCTTCATTCCTACTGAAATTTCACTATCATTTGTAGGATCCATCTACAAAATAAATCCTACAATTTTTTTAAAACACAAAATTATAAAACAAACGTCTAGGTCATGAAATACAATATTACTGGTATCCCCACAAAACACATGTGTTTATTCTCAAATGAACTCTTCTAAGAGGTAGCCACTATCCCATCTTTTATGATAATCATGTCCTTACTAACCTTTATACTTTTCTTCCTCTGTATCCCTAAACTATGTAAGTTCATTTTGCCCATTGTTGAACTTTATGTAAATAATATAATACTGTATATATTCTTTTGAGACTTACCATTTTACTAAAAATTGTCTTTGTGATACTTATTCATATTGTTGTGTATAGTTTTACTTTTGTGAATCTTCATTGTCACATAGTATTTCATTGTATGAAAATAGATTATCCATTTTACTGCTAATGGAAATAGGAGTGGTTTATGGTTTGGGTCTCTCTCCTCCTGGTCCTTTTTTTGTTCTTCTTTTCTTATACCTCTGTCTTAGCATCTTTCTCCCTGGACTCTTCCTCTGAAGATCCTTCCCCCGTGTCTCTTGGTCTCTGCCTTTGTGTCTCTCCCTGTGCTTTCCCAGACTCTTTTTCTCAACTCCAATCTCTTCTCTCTCGATTTCAGACTCTTATCTCCACCAAAAGCTATATTAGAAATCCCAGAGGAAAAAAAATTTCTTTTCTCCCAATATCTATATATCATTTTCAGTGAAAATGTTTTTTGGCTCTACTTATGTCACTATATCTCTCTTGTTTTAATCACTGTCTCCATGAAAATGAGATGGTTTAACTGTCTAGATACTGTGACAGGTGCACATCCTACTTGGAAAAATATGTGGTGGGAAAGGGAGCAATTATGAATAGAAAAAATAAAATAAAATAAAAGAACAATACCCTGCACTATGTAAAAAATAAAAATGCAACTCAAAGGACTAAACAACCTTAAAATTTTTAGAATAACGGATAGTAAAGGACTTTAACTCTGGAGAATAATATATCACTATTACTAGAAATTCAAACTAAATATGAGGCTCAACCCAAAGTTAAAGGGCTAAAGCTTTGAGATGAGGGGAATAGAATTGTAACATATGCCACATTCTGGTAGGTGAGTATAACCCACATTACAACTTTTCAAGGTTCCCATGCATTTTGTTCAGGATTTTTTTTTTTTCGCTCTGTCGCCCAGGCTGGAGTGCAGTGGCACAGTCTCAGCTCATTGCAAGCTCCACCTCCTGGGTTCACGCCATTCTCCTGCCTCAGCCTCCCGAGTAGCTGGGACTACAGGCGCCCGCCACCACGCCTGGCTAATTTTTTGTATTTTTAGTAGACACAGGGTTTCACTGTGTTAGCCAGGATGGTCTTGATCTCCTGACCTCATGATCCACCCGCCTCGGCCTCCCAAAGTGCTGGGATTACAGGAGTGAGCCACTGCGCCTGGCCTCTTCAGGATTTTTAGTTGCATCCAGTGGGACACACAGGGAAATGTGTGCTCACTCCATCTTAAACATCTTAATAATCAGAATTTCGAAAGGCATATATTGGTTTTGAAAAGACTATACTACTTATCCACTAATATAGCATGAGAACATTCTTTTATCCACAAGCCCACTAGTAATTACAATTTTGGCAGTTTGATGGGTATAAAGTGCTATCTCATTGTTATCCTATTTCGCATTTCCCTGTAGCATATAGTGCAATTGGAATTTTTCACCATATTTTTGACCATTCAGATTTGTGGGTATATATAAACATATACACATGTGTACGTACACAATGGGCTGAATTGTGTTCCCCCATCGCATACTTATACCTTGCAGTCCTAAACCCCAGTACCTCAGCATGTGACTATACTTGGAGATAGTGTCTTTAAATAGGTAGTTAGTTAAAATAAGGTCATTACGGTGAGCACTAGCCCAACATTACGGGCATGTTTATTAGAAGAGATTAGGACAAAGATATATAAAGGAGAAACCATGTGAAGACAAGGGAGAAAGCCATCTACAAGACAAGGAGAGAAGCCTCAGAAGAAACCAATGCTGCCCACATCCTGATCTCAAGCCTCCAGAGTTGTAAGACAATAGATATCTGCTGGTTAAGCCACCCAGTCTGCAGTACTTTGTTATGGCAGCATTAGAAGACTAATACAATGTATGTATGTGTTTATATATGATTATATAATTATAGAGAAAATATGTCTTAAAATATTACCTGGGCATGGAATGGTTGGTGAAAAGACATAATATAGAAGGAGATGGGGAATTAAAAGGGAGGGGAAACCAAGTAAACATTGAAAGGAAAAAATGGTGACTGGATTTTTAAAATATGGATTATATGATCACGTGTATTTGAGTAAAAATTATAATTTATAGGTAACACAATTGTTAAATTTATATACACATACAATTCATTCATTATCTGGACATCACTTTGATTACATCGATTTTTCTTTATTCACCACCCACTGGACTTAAGTGCTGCGTTACTCACTGTGCATGATGTTGGAGGCTTGGAACTCTGGATCCTCAAGCTGCACTCCAACTGGATTGGGGAGAAAGCGTTGTATATTCTCTGTGAGGTACCAGCTTTGGTTCTCATCAAAAACAGAAAACAGGATGACATTCCTCTTGTCTGACATTATCTGTTAATTACATATATTGAAAAGGGTAAAGAAATGCTGCTGATGTTGTCACGTAGGAGCTAGCAGTCTATGATGAAAGCGATGGCATGCATGTGATATATCTAATCCGTTGGTTTAATTCCATTTATGTACCAGGGCTTGGGAGTTGGGGGTGGGTGCTATGAGCAGTGAGTATATGCTTACAACAAATGTGTCCCCAGGACAAAAGGGTGACTGACCCACTGAACTTAGTTTTTCTGCACCCAAGGACATATGCTGCTTGATTTTTTTGGTACAGTCTGTAGCCTTTATTCTCCTCATGTTCAGATTAGAAGATTTAACTCCTTAAAGAATCAAGTGATTATTCAGTGCCTTTCTTAAGTTAGTTAAGTCAAATGAGATACTAACTTTCCTAAACTTCCATCTAGCAACTGACCTTCCACAAGGCTATAAAAAATTAAAAATAGAAAAACAAAAATCAAATAAGAAAGATAAGGTGAACCACAAAAATGTCGAACAACACTAATACCTTAAATTTTCTGTTTAAAACATTCAAATTTTTTTCAGAAGAGCAGTTTGTATATGAACCAGATTTATGAATTAGATTTATGAATTGCTAATTGGATCTGCTAAGATTTCATATGTAAACCTTACTAATACATATAAACTTTATTTTTTATAACCTATAGCTATATAAACCAAAATACTGAAGAGAGGAGATTGGAGAATATAGAATAATATTTCAGTTATCTTCCCAAAAGTGATGAAAAAACTAAAATTAGGAAAAATTGGTCAGGACAAGTACTTGGCAAAATTTATACTTCTCTGAGTTTATGTGCCACGTGTTTTATTGGCACCAAAGTTCATATACTTTACTCTCTAAACAAATGAAATGTTTTCAGACTAGTAGGGATCTTATGTATCATAAATATAATCAAATGGACACATAGTCAAGCCTCAGCAATATGGCAACGAGTTATTCTGGGGCCAAGCAATGAGTTTTTGTGAAGAACTAAGTTTTTCTTGTTCAGAGAATATAGCTTTATTTTTTAAAGCAGTAGAAATGATCCAAATTCTAGCCATATTTTGAAATATTTTATATCTTTCCTGATGTTTTGCCCAAAAGTATTTATTAAGCTTTTTTTTTTTTCCTGAGACAGGGTGTCGCTTTGTCACCCAGGCTCACTGCAGCCTTGACCTCCTGGGCTCAAGCTATCTTCCCACCTCAGCCTCCTGAGTAGGTGGGACTACAGGCACATGCCACTATGCCCAGCTAAATTTTTTTTTTTGTAGAGACAAAGTCTAGGATGGTCTCCAAATCCTGAGCTCAAGCAATTCTCCCGCCTCGGCCTCCCTAAGTGCTGAGATTACAGGCGTGAGCCACTGTACCTAGCCTATTAGGCTCTTACTAAGTGCCATACACTGTGCTACATGCTGCAGACATGTTAATTTTGAGGTGCTTTTGAATCAGCCATAATGAGATGCCCATGGAAGAAATCTAGGCTGTAGATACAAATTTGTGGGTCATCTGAAAGTAGACATGCAAAAATGGGGAGGATCACCGAGAGAGAGCTAAATCCCAGACTAGGAAAAATCTAGGGCCTACATTCTATGGCCTATCCATCCAGCAGGCATGTTTACTACACCAAACTCAAATTCAGTAAAAGCTAAGCTCATTCCTTTTACTGACCTATATTGCAAACCATTATATTTTCTTCAGGTTATAGGGGGACATACACTGAGAATTTATGTGCATTTCACCTCATTTTTAGCTTCAAATCCAGCACTTGGAAAGGCAAGAACTCACCTGGTTTCCTCTTTGATCTACAGATTCTTTGTAGCAGATGAGGAGAGGGCCAATGAGTCCTGAAGCTAGATCTCTCTCCATATTAATGAAACTAGAGTAATAACGGGTCAGGCACCGAGGATCTGATTTAGTTGGCCCATCTTCTACAGTCACTGTCCATTTATATTTGAATATTTCTCCTGGCAGAATTGGAAAATCCTTCAAATGTTTTACACCTATCCACAAGCAAACCCAGAAATAGCTCAATTAGAGTACAACAAGCCACATATCGGTAATCATGTTGTTGTTGCAAGAGTTCTACAAATCTGTATGTACATATGAAGTTTCTCAGGAAGTGGAAGCTAAAGTTGCGCCTATTATAATTTTAAGATTCACACAATTTTTCAGAAAAGTAAAAAAGCTATAATTGATTATCCAGTCGACTGTGAAAGTTTCAGGCCTGAATATATGTCAAAGAGCTTGGCACTGGAGTTTTAGGACAGAGTCTCTGACTTCTGTGAGGAAAGGGAGCAAGAACTGAGATCTGCCCTCAGGGTAATGGGTCCTCAGGACAAGAACTAATTTTAGTAATTAAGTCTCATTCTGGGTATGTTTAATACCTGAAGATCCAATCTAAATCAAAATTTTAATTTTATATTCATTCTAAGCTCTTCCTCACCTCACTAAGTTATGCCTGACCTATGGTTAGAGAACCCATAGAAAGGGAACGGTGTTGAGGTCAGGAGTTTGAGACCAGCCTGGTCAACATGGTGAAACCCCATCTCTACTGAAAATACAAAAATTAGCCAGGTGTGGTGGCAGGCACTTGTAATCCCAGCTACTTGGGAGGCTGAGGCATGAGAATCACTTGAACCCGGGAGACAGAGGTTGCAGTGAGCCGATATCACACCAATGCACTCCAGCCTGTGGGATAGAGTGAGACCCTGTCTCGAAAAAAAAAAAAAAAAAGAAAGAAAGAGAATGGTGTAGTATGTTCTTTCAATATTTCTCAGCCTTCTCTTCCCTTTTCCAGGAGCTGGGGGTGAGGGAGGGTAGGTAATAAAAGAAAGGGCAAACAGACTCTTGTTTAACAGGTCCTGCTGCTCTATCTTTGATAACACTATTTGGTCATCAAAGTTCTCTGTGTGGGAGGTGCCCAAATGCTGGTCTTTTCATAGGACCCATGTATGGTTTCTTTAGAGTTACCATGGGGACCTCAGCACTACATAGTTCCATGACATGAGAGATGTTTCTTTCAGCTATCCTTCTGCAACTCTCCTTTCCCATTAGCTCTTCTTACTTCCAGTGATACATCCAATACTCTATTGGTTCTGCTATCCCTTTAGCGTGCCTAACTGCCTTCTTGGGCAGAATATCTTCAAAAAGGGTAAAGCCCAGCTACTTTCAACAGCATTCACTTGTTACAGAAGAAACTCATGTCAAACAGCAGAAAGGTAAACTGCTCCACTCTTGCCCTCTCTTCTTGCCCACTATTATGGGCATTACAGCCTTCAAAATTCTCCATGGAAAAAGCAGTTTACCAGTAACTGTATCCATGTATGCCTCCAAATTTCAGGATACACATTCAAAATCTCCCCAGTACTCTGTACTATGCCTTCTTCCATAAAGAAATGCAAATAAAGAATTCTTATCAGCAATAAGGAATATTAGAAAACAGGGGAAGGATTTTTTTTTTTTTTTTGAGATGCAGTCTTGCTCTGTTGCCCAGGCTAGAGTGCAGTGGTATGATCTTGGCTCACTGCAACCTTTACCTCCCAGTTTCAAGCAATTCTCCTGCCTCAGCCTCCTGAGTATTTGGGATTACAGGCACACACCACAGTACCCGACTAATTTTTTTTTTTGAGTAGAGATGGGGTTTCACCATGTTGGCCAGGCTGGTCTTGAACTCCTGACCTCAAGTGATCCACCCACCTTGGCCTCCCAAAGTGCTGGGATTACAGGCATGAGCCACTGCACCCAGCGGGAAAATTTTTATAACCAGTCTTTCTGCCCATGATGTGATACTGAAGGATTCAGAAAGTTCACCCTCTGTATACCACATATTTAGAAGTTACTTGAGAATACACTTCCAGAAAAACAAAAGAAGAAATCAAAAAATAGAAATGTACAAGAGAAAAGAAGTTAATGCTATTAACTGCAAGAATGTCTTTAAAAAGAAAAAGATTTGGTTCCAGCACTTTGGGAGGCTAAGGTAGGCAGATCACTCGAGCTCAGGAGTTCAAGACCAGCCTGGGCAACAAGGTAACACCCCATTTCTACAAAAAATTTAAAAAAAAAAATTAAAAAATTAGCTGGGCATGGTGGTGTGCGCCTATGGTCCCAGCTACTCAGGAGGCTGAGGTGGGAGGATAGCCTGAGCCTGGGAGGTGGAGGTTGCAGTGAGCCAAGATCGTGTCACTGTACTCCAGCCTGGGTGACAGAGCGAGACCCTGTCTCAAAAAAATAAAAAATAAAAATAAAAGATTTGGATACTAAGCAATAAACAGAATGATTAAGAAGCTGAAGGGCCTAAGAAATAGGGTTGAAGAAGCATACATTTCTTTTCCTAATAAAAGGAAACAAAGTCTTACTTCAGGATACAGACACGAAAATTATAAGATCAATATGGTCCTAATACAAAAGCTAAAATTGAGCATGATATCAAACTACTGATGAGGAATAATGAAGGAGAATCTATTTGATCTTTTTATTTTTAAATTGACACATGATAATTGCACATATTTATGGGGTACAGAGTAATATTTCAATACATGTATACATGTGTAATGATTAAACCAGGGTAATTAGTACATACCCATCATCTTAAACATTTATCATTTCTTGGTGTTGGGAACATTCCAAATCCTCTCATCTAGCTATCTGAAAATATATGTCATTGTTGACTACAGTCACCCTACAGTGCTATAGAACATTAAGACTTACGCCTCCTATCTAGCTGGAATTTAGCATTCATTAACCAATATCTCCCTATTTCCCCCTCCCCTTCCCCTCTTTAGCCTCTAGTAACCACTATTTTATCTCTACTTCTGTGAGATCAACTTTTTTCCTTCCACATATTATTTTATCTTAATAGTAAAATCACTTGAGCTGTAGAAAAGAGAGCAATCATAGCATATTACCTAGTTCTGCAGTTAACATTTATAAAAAGAAACTTGCATACTAAAATAATACAATGCTGTTTTTTAATTTTTTAAGCTTTAGAAAAAATATATAGACAAAGCAAGGAAGAGTTATTTCAAATTACGGCATAAAATGTAAATGTTATCAAGTTTAGTTTTGTAAAAGTAAAGGAATGGCTAGCAGCAGTGGAGAAAAGAAAGGTTTGGGGAAAGGAAAAGTGAGGGGTACAGTTTTTAATATCCTTAATTTATGAAGTATGGAGTCAAAAGATATTTTCCAATATCTGGAAAAATCCAATCATGGATTGAAAATATATTACTAAAAGTTGATGTTTAGTATATTTTTAAAGTTCTAATGATAGCCAATGGAACTGAAAACACTGATAAAACTGAAATAACTTGAATGGAAAGAAGCACAAAACAAAGTAACTATATAGTGTCTAAAGTTGAAAAACAAAGAGTTAGCAGTATAAGTAACTTTTTAGAGATGTAGAGATAACCACCAAAAATCAAAACAGAAATTCTTAAAAATGGAATCCTCTAGGGAGGCAGTCCTTTTGTAGTTTTAAGCATACACATCTATTATTTTGATAAATATTCATCCAAAATTAAATAACAGAAAGAATACATATAACATCCAATCTACTAAAAGAAAAAATAAATCTTTAAACAACAAACAATATAGTAAATAAAAACTGGAGTTGTGAACTATTTAGAAATGAATATGCGAAGAACCCTGAAAATATCAAACTAGATACCAAAAGTGAGAGTGAAACCCTGTCGAGAGAGAGAGAGAGAGAGAGAGAGAGAGAGAACAAGGAAGAGCAATAACATGGAAGCTGCAGCAAAGAATCCTGAAAATATCAAACTAGATACCCAAAGTGTGGAATACCACACTAGATACCAAAAGTGTGGAATGTAGCTGAAAACTGTACTCAGAAAAAAAAAATTATCTTAAGTGCCAGAAGAATCAGCTTCAAGATTTTAGGGCATTTATAGTAGTTGCAGTGGAAAAGAGACAATCTAATTGGCTGTGCAATATTTGAACATCACCACTAGGTAACAGGAAAAACACATCAGGTGACTCTTCACTAATTTACATGAAACATCACCTGAGGATTCCTATAATTGATTTTTATAACTTTAGACTGGAGCTTGAGGTCCAGCCAACAGTTGGAGAAAGGACCATCATGATTTTAGCTGTTATTGATGATATTGATTTAATCTGTATCTACAGGTAAAAAAGAGCTATAAATCGAGGGAATACTTACCTTTTGGTAATCTCCTTGAATACAAAGGACGGACATCAGTGATTCCGTGAGGGTAGATGTTATATGGTCTGCTTGCTTGATTCTTAAATATAATCTGAAAGTATAAGTGAGATCTAAGATCAAATCCTAAAACAACTAGGATCAACAAGAAAACTGTGGTCTAACTCCAGATAAATAAAAGCGGCCTCTATCTACATTATAGTAATTTGAGGCTAGATAAAACTCAAAATATTTGGTCTTTTCATGAAATTGTCCCTTGGCATGAATGGGGGATTGGTTCCAGGATCCCCGCAGATACCAAACTCTGTGATGCTCAAGTCCCTAATGTAAAATGATGTAGTATTTGCATATAACCTATGCACATCCTCTCATGTACTTTAACTCATGTCTAGATTTCTTATAGTACATAATATAATGTAAATGCTATGTAAATAGTTGTTATACTGTATTGTTTCTTTGTATTATTATTTATTGTTGTATTATTATCTTTTATTGTTTTGGGTTGTTTTTTGAATACTTTCAATTGATGGTTGTTTGAATATGAGACTAGAAACCCAATGATACTGAAAAATAAAAATAAAATCTTAAACATCCCCAAACAACTGAAGAGACCCCTTTCTTGACCGAGGAGACCCCAGAGATGGCTTAAAAACTGAGTTTCTGACCATGATGGGATGGGAGATCAGGCATGCCTTGTTACATTCCCTCCCTCCCTAATCTGCTGTTAGACTTTCTTTCTTAAGGGTTAAACATAAACCAGTCCTTTCTAAAGACGTGCTGGATTCCCCTCCCTTTGTGCAGTTTTGACACAACGACTGACCAGCATTCCTTCCTGATGAGAGACCACTGACCATGGACTGGCTCTGGCCAGTTTACAGAGGCTGCCTCTGTGTCCTCTGTTTCATCTTTTGACATATACAGCCTAATTTTCATGCAACTAAATGTTAAGTCTCCACCCCAAAGTGAACATGGAATGTATGTAATATGCATGTTTGCATGTGCCCCATCATAAATATTCACAGCTCTTCCTGGAACCTGTTAAATATGTATACTTAGCCAACTCATTCAGCATAAATCCCTAACTCATCCTTCCTTCTTCAAAGTGCTTGCTTCCAGTTGCTGCCAGAGGCTACACTTCCCAGCCTGCAACCCTTTCCACTCCAAATTTACAAACTTATGATTCTTCAGTTGACAATGTGGAGGGCGACAGTACTTAGGTTTCTCTCTAAAGGCCCCTTTCCATTTCTTTAAAAATTGTTTCAATTGCTTCAGGAAGTGTTCTCTGCACCTTCTCACACTAATTGAAATTTGTATGTCTGCTGAGGACACTGCTTCCTTTCAGCCTTTTTCACTATTTGGGCATTAAATTCACTGATAATAGAGAAAGAGACAGTGTTTCAGGAGATAAAATCTTCAGTGAATGAGCAGGCATGACCAAGAGGACAGTTGATTACAGTATTAAGCAAGGGTGGCAGGTGGTATTGCCTGATTGCACCAGCTGTAAAAGAAAACAAAGGCCTACGTGCAGTGGCTTGTGCCAGTACTTTGGGAGGCTAAGGCAGGAGGATCGTTTGAGCCCAGGACTTCAAGACCAGCCTGGGTAACATAGTGAGACCTCATCTCTACAAAAAATTAAAAAATTAGCTGGGCATGGTGGTGCATGCTTGTAATCCCAGCAATTTGGGAGGCTGAGGTGGGAGGATCACTTGAGCCCAGGAAGTCGAGGCTGCAGTAGTGAGCTGTGATCACACCACAGCACTCCAGCCTGGGTGACAGAATGAGACCCTATCGAGAGAGAGAGAGAGAGAGAAAGAGAGGAAAGCTGCAGTGAAGAACCCTTAAAATATCAATCCCACCTCCAGATCTGAGCTGTGTGATATGAGGATAAAAATACAACTTCCACTTCTGCTCTTGTCTTAAAACCCAGTCATTTGGTAAGCCCACGAAGCAGTTGATTCCTTACCTGCATCTAAGCAGCAGAATGATACTTCAAATAACAGCAGTTTTGTTTCTTTCCAATATTAAAATGCTTTTTTTCCATTTTTTTCGCCCTAAGAATACTCACCAGGATTTCCAATATAATATTAAGTAGAGATGGTGATATCTGTCACCTGTGTCTTGTCCTGATCTTAAACAGAAGGATTTCTGACTGTCACCACCAAGTACAATGGTTACAAGTTTTTTGCAGATCTTTATCAGGATAATGATAATTATTTCCTTGTAATCCCAATTTCCCATGAGTTTTTATTATGAATGGATGTTGAATTTTGACAAATGCTTTTTCAGAAGCTATTGGAATTATCAAATTATATTTTTCCTTTTATGTGTTAATATGGTAGATTGCCACATTTGATTTTCTAATGTTAATCTAGTACTCCTGGGATAAGTCAACTTCATAATATGTATTATCTTTTTAATATATTGCTGTATTAGGTTTATAAAATTTTGTTTAGGATTTTTTGAACCCATGTTTATAATGAAATTGGTCTGTAATTTTTAATTTTCCTTTCTCATGGTGACATAGTCAGGTTTATAACCAAATGCTATACTAGCCTAATAAAAATAATTGATCTTTCATTTTTTATACTCTACATTTTAAATTTTAATATAAAGTTATTTATTTATTGAATATTGATATAAATTGCCAATAAAATGGCAATTCTTGCTAGGCTGATATTTTCTTTTAACACATGAAAGATATGATTTAATTGTCTTCTTACTTTCTTTTTTGCTCTAGAGAAGTAAGCTATCAGTCTATGTGGCAATTTAAAACATGGTCTGCAATTCTTTGGCTCTTCTCTCATCAAGAAGTAGATCAAATTTTCCCTCTTCTTGATTCGAGGTGGGTTTTGGCTGCTTTCAACTAACAGATTATGGCATAAAGTGCTGTGTGACTTCTGATGCTGATTGCAAAAAGTGAGGCATTTTCTGCTTTATTAACTAGAATACACAGTTAGAGCCCTGAGTCACCATATAAGAAGTCCCATTACCCTGAGGCTGCCACAGTGTGAAGAAGCCAAACAACATGGACAGACAACATGTAGGTGCTCTGGTTGGTAGTTCTAATTGTCAAGTCATTGCTACTCAGGTACCAGATATATGAGTGAAGCTGTCTTGGTCCCTCAAGATCCACTGATCAACATCAAGTGACCTTGGTCAATGATAAATAACTGCCCAGCTGAGCCTGAACTCCTGACACAAATAATCTATAAGAATAATAAAACAGCTGTTGTTTTAACCATTAAATGTAGAGGTAATTAAGTATACTACATTAATAATCATAACAGTTTAATTATCATTTCTTTGAATATAGTCTGCTTTTTCTGTCTATTTGTCCACTTAAAAATATGTTTATTGAAGAATAATTTATAAGCTGCAAAATTCACACATTATAAGTATACAATTAAATGGTTTTTAGTAAACGTATGGAGTTGTGCAATCATTGCCACAATCCAGAATTAGAATATTTCCATCACCCCAGAAAGATTCTGCATGCTGGCTTGCAGGCATTCCCTGCTTCCACTCCCAGCCCCTGGCAATCACTGAAGAGATTTCTGCTCTATAAATTGGTCTTTTCTGTATATTTTATATAAGTTAAATCATGCAATATGTAAGTCTTTTGTCTGACTTCTTTAACTTACAATGTTTTGAGTTTCATCTATATTTATCGTGTATAATTAGTTCTTTTCTTTTAATTGCTGAATAGAATTCCAATTACATGTATATACCATATTTTATTTATCCATTCACCATTTGGTGAATGTTTGAATGGTTTTCAGTGTGGGGCTACGAACATTTGCATACAAGTCTTTGTGGGTACCTATGTTTCCATTTCCCTTAGGTATATCTCTAGGAGTGGAAGTGCCAGGTCATATAATAACTCCATTTTGAACATTTTGAGGAATAGCCAAGCTGTTTTCCAAAGTGGCTTCACTATTTTGCATTCCCTTCATAAATTGATGAGGGCTACAATTTCTCCATGTCCTCACCAACACTTAACATCTGTCTTCTTGATTATACTTATTCTAGTGGTCGTGAAGTGGTATTGCACTGTGGTTTGAATTTTCATTTCCCTGACATGCAGCATTTTTTCAACTGCTTATTGGACACTTTGTATATAACCTTTGGAGAAATGTCTGTATAAACCCTTTGCTCATTTTTCATTTGGGTCATTTGCCTATTTATTATTGAATTGAAAGAGTCCTTTATATATTTTGAATACTACATCCTTATCAGATAAAAAATTTGCAAGCATTTTCTCCAGTTCTATGCATTGTCTTTGCATTTTCTGGGCGTCCTTTGAAGCACAAAAGTTTTTGAGTATGATGAAGCACAATTATCTATGTTTTTCTTTTGTTGCTTGTTGGTTTTGGTGTCATATCCAATAAATCATTGTCTAATTCAGGATCACAAAGATTTATTTTGTTATTTTCTTATAATTTTGTAGTTTTAGCTCTTACATTTTATCTTGGATCCATTTTGAGTTAATGTTTAAGTGTAGGATTCAGCAAGGTATCCAGAGCATAACCTGAATAAATCAAAGAATGAGGTAGATCTTTATATGTTGACATGAAATGATATCCAAAATATATTGTTACTTTTTATTATTACTATTATTTTTAGACAGAGTCTTGCTCTGTTGCCCACGGTGGAGTGCAGTGGTGTGATCTCAGCTCAATGCAACCTCCGCCTCCCAGATTCAAGCGATTCTCCTGCCTCAGCCTCCAGAGTAGCTGGGACTACAGGCATGCACCACCATGCCCGGCTAATTCAAAATATATTGTTACTTTTTAAAAATCAAGGTACAGACTAATTTACACTGCTCTTGTTTTTGTGTGAAACACCCTCACACACACACACACACACACACACACACACACATACATTCATACATGTATGCACTATTTCTGGAGGGGAGTATACAAACCCACAGCAATGACTGTCTGTCAGACTATGGGGTTGGAAGTCCAAGAGGGAGGAAAATTTACATTTTATTGTATGCTCTTGTTTACCCATTTTTAAATTAGCCAGTAAAAGTAACTCAAAATACACACCTATAAGTATGTACAATTATTGTGTCATTATGCATTTTAAAAATTAATGAATAAAAATAAAAGTATACAATCTTCAAAAACATCAATAAAAGAAAAATATGTAAAACAAAATTTATGAAGAAAAATTGTACAAGAATAGCTAATAAAAATTTTGAAGAAGTACAATGAAAGAAGATGTCATACAGATATCAAACATATTACAAAGTTGAAGTCATTAAAACAGTGTGGCAACAGATTAGTTAAGGAGAATTAAAAATCCCAGATTTTAGCAATTTAGTATATGATAAAGAAGACATTTTCAAATTAATGAAAAAAGGATTGGTTATGTGAGCTGCCATTTGGGAAAATTTCTATTTGAATTATGCACTATATCCAAAAGTAACTTCCAGGGCAATTAGATTGTTCACTGTAAAAATAAAGCTATATAAGTAAGAGAATAAAATAGGGACTATTTTTATAATTTCTTGGAGCTGGCAAAGACATTCTTAGGCAGAAAATAAAAGTGAAAAAGATCCAGAGAAAGTTAAATGAAAAGATTGATAAAAGATAGGAGGTTTTGACTATATAAAGATAAAAAATCTTTGAAGGACAAAAAAATATCATAAAGGAGTGACAAAAAGTACAAGTGACAATGTGAGGAAACCATTTGAAAGATAAATCACAATGTGTCAATATCCGTAATCTATAAAGGCCTTTTACAAATACATAAGCAAAAGATGACTACTCAAATAGAAAACTGGACAAAATTTACAAGCAGGCAATTCACAGAGGGAGTTATACAAATAGCCAACAAACATGAAACAATATACAATTTGACTACTAACCAGGGAAATGCAAATGAAGACAACATATAAACATTTTGCTCATCAAATTGAAAACTTTTTCTGAAGGTTTATAATATATGTTGTTGGCAATGGTGTGGGGAAAAGGGCAGTCATATACTTATGGTAGGGGATATAAATTGGTACAAAATTGCTGAAAGTCAGTTTGGCAGTATCTAAAAAAACTCCACATCTAAAAACCAGTGTTCTTCATGACATTCTTGAGCAACTGAATTTATGCAACCGACGACCTATCTTCAAATTTCTTGTGAAGAAAATAAACCCTTATCTATTTAAACCACTGTCCATTGAGTATTCTGTTACTTACACCATACTCATTCTTAATATCCCAGATCAGGGACAAACAAGCATTTTTTGGAAAAGGCTGGATAGTAAATACTCTAAAATTGTGAGCCCTATTTAGCCTCTGTCACATATTCTCTTCCTCCTCTACCTTCTCCTCCCCTTCCTCCCATGCTCATTTCTTTTCTTTACAATATTTCAAAAATGTAAAATCTCACCTAAGCTCATAGACTATTCAAAAGCAGACCACAAGCCAAATTTGGTTCATAGGCCATAGTCTGCTGACTCCTATACGACATAATTAATGGGGAAAGATCTGGAAGGATATGTATCAGAGTCTAAGCAGTATTTCAAAGGAGTGTCGAGTTTAATGGGTGACATTAAATTTTTATTCTATATACTCATACTTCAAATATGTGCAATCAGCTATTATTTGTGTAACATTTACAGCTTTTAAAAGATCATGTCCATTGGAGACAAGGCTGAATTATGAAGTATTTTAGAAACTCAAAACTCTCTAGACTTTTTCTTCTTACCAGACCTTAAATCTTTTCCTCAACTTACCAACAGTGTGTCTCCAACTTCCCCATAAAGTAAAGGTCCCAAGATTCCTGATTCATACTGAATAGCTTCACGAGTCTTAAAGGTTTCATCTGTGTATGCCATAAATCGGACTTTTTTGTACTTCCTACCAATCCGCTGAGAGCCATTGTTCAAATATTGACTTTTATAACTTCTGTATAAGAGAAAAAAAAGATGCGAGGTTGGGAAGAAAAATTCTAGGTAGGCTCAACTCCAACTCTAAAACAGCTTATATGATTCAATCAAGGCAAGCAGTGAGAAAAATACAAGCTTCTCTGATGCTCTGCTATGTTAGTTTCCAAATGCAGACCTAATGCCGTAAAAACCCTAGAAGAAAACCTAGGTAATACCATTCAGGACATAGGCATGGGCAAGGACTTCATGTCTAAAACAACAAAAGCAATGGCAACAAAAGCCAAAATTGACAAATGGGATCTAATTAAACTAAAGAGCTTTTGCACAGCAAAAGAAACTACCATCAGAGTGAACAGGCAACCTACAGAATGGGAGAAAATTTTTGCAATCTATCCATCTGACAAAGGGCTAATATCCAGAATCTACAAGGAACTCAAACAAATTTACAAGAAAATAACAAACAACCCCATCAAAAAGTGGGCATAGGATATGAACAGACATTTCTCAAAAGAAGACATGCATACAGACAACAGACACATGAAAAAATGCTTGTCATCACTGGCCATCAGAGAAATGCAAATCAAAACCACAATGAGATACCATCTCACACCAGTTAGAATGGCGATCATTAAAAAGTCAGGAAACAACAGGTGCTGGAGAGGATGTGGAGAAATAGGAAGACTTTTACACTGTTGGTGGGATTGTAAACTAGTTCAACCATTATGGAAAACAGTATGGCAATTCCTCAAGGATCTAGATCTAGAAGTACCATATGACCCAGCCATCCCATTACTGGGTATATATCCAAAGGATTATAAATCATGCTGCTATGAAGACACATGCACACGTATGTTCATTGTGGCACTCTTCACAATAGCAAAGACTTGGAATTAACCCAAATGTCAATCAGTGACAGACTGGATTAAGAAAATGTGGCACATACACACCATGGAATACTATGCAGCCATAAAAAAGGATGAGTTTGTGTCCTTTGTAGGGACATGGATGCAGCTGGAAACCATCATTCTCAGCAAACTATTGCAAGAACAGAAAACCAAACATCGCATGTTCTCACTCATAGGTGGGAACTGAACAATGAGATCACTTGGACTCGGGAAGGGGAACATCACACACCGGGGCCTATTAGGGGGAGGGGGGAGGGATTGCACTGGAGTTATACCTGATGTAAATGACGAGTTGATGGGTGCTGATGAGTTGATGGGTGCAGCACACCAACATGGCACAAGTATACATATGTAACAAACCTGCACGTTGTGCACATGTACCCTAGAACTTAAAGTATAATAAAAAAAAAATACTCTTGCCATTTGATTCCATACCCGTACCTAACCTTAAACATGGCTTCAGGATTTGTTGGTTTGAATAACTGGTAAGAACTTTTTGAGTATGGGGAAGAGAGAGTACCAATAGTCAAAAAATGCTTACCTGTCATCAGGGGCGAGGACTGAGGGAGCATAGTCCCAGACCTCCTCTTCAGCAGCAATGTAATGTACCCAAGTTTTAGGATGCTTCTTGGCAACTGAGCGAATTTGGATAAAGGAAGGAGAGTTGTCATCATCAAACCTGACCACATCCATTTCAGAATCAGCAAGATCATCATCATAGTCTTCCGCTTCTTCATTATTTTTCATTCGTAGTTGGGGTTCCTCTGGGCAACTGTCTACTTTGACATAAGCTTCCATGCCATCTGGAGTCAGACAAACCAAACAATGTCAGAGTGTCCCGCTGTATTAGGCTGTTCTTGCATTGCTATAAAGAAATACCAGAGACTGGGTAATTTATAAAGAAGAGATTGAATTGGCTCATAGTTCTGCAGGCTATATGGGAAGCATGGTGTTGGCATCTGCTTGACTTCAGGGAGGTCTCAGGAAGCTTATAATCATGGGGGTAGGTGAAGGGGGAGGAGACATGTCACATGGTGAAAGCAGGAGCAAGACAGAGAGTGCAAGTTGTCACACATTTCTGAATGACCAAATATCATGAGAACTCACTATTATGAAGACAGCATCAAGCCATGAGGGATTCACCCCCATGATCCAAACATCTGCCACCAGACCCCACCTCCAGCACTGGAAATTACAATTCAACATGAGATTTCAGTGAAGACAAATACCCAAACTATATCACTTACCTTAACTTTTAGGACTCTTTCTCTCTTACTAGGCCTTCCAGGCTCTCCCCTAAGCACCCCCCTTTCCACATCACTTTCCCTTCTTGCCACTTTCCCATATATACTTATTTCTATATGGATTATCTGGTACTTGCTTGTTTCTTCCTCTGGTCTTTGCACTCACCATTTCCCTTCTGCATGATCCTTCTCTATATATGTTTTACCTCCTTTTCAAAAGTTATTCATTTGCTCTTATAATATGTATTACTATTTCCCTTCTGGAACTGGTTTTGAGCCTATCATTCCCCTACAGCCAAATGATAAACAAAGAGACTTGAAGAACTGCGTATTTTCAGCATTTCGAAGCCTGGACCAGACCAGCTCCCCATCCCCATAGTCACCTAATGATTTCTATATTTACCCTATTGGATTATAATACAAATCATTGATTTAATAACAGCTTATTGGGAAAAATGTTAGTGTAGATATAAACTTTAAGACATGTTCCAAGTTCATAAAAACATGACAAGATACAACTTAAAATTAAGGAGATATGTATTTTAAGAGCATGTCTGCCTGTGACTAGTTGTAAACCCTACAGCAAATCTATTCAACATTCTCAGTCTCATCTTTATGGTTTGTAAAATGGATAATAATAATTCCTGCTGTATTTATAACATAGGGCAATTTTGAAGATCAAATACTTCTAAGAAGGGAGACCTGTTTACTTGATTATGAGGAACAGGGCAGGTTTTAGGAGCAGCAAACAACTAGTCTGAGGTTCATGTAGCCTTAAACATAATTCAGTCTGCATCTAAAAACGAAGTGTTTTGTCTCAGGTTCAATAAGATAAAGCATTATTTTTCTGAAAAATAAAGATTAAAATCAGTGGATAGAATCTGTGAAAGTAAAAAAACAAAACAAAAAATAAACTGTTAAACTGAATCAGGCTCCAACTGGACAATGATTGATTGACAATGATCATATACAAGTAAATGACCTATTCCTCTGTGCCTGCAAGAATTTTGTTTGTGCATCAACTTCCTGTTACTCATTCAGTATGACACTTTTTGTCCACTAAGGTCTTATCAAAATTCCATAAATATTATGTGATGAATGGGGAAAAGAGATTTCTATTCTTAATCACTACAGAGGACTATAAACAAGGTCACTAATAGAACATAAGGAGGAAAATGGTGGATACATGGCAAGATCAAATCTCTTTTCTAAGTCAACCAAGGAACTTGAGGAGAATGTTAATATGAGAGTACTAGGAAGAAAGAAATGCTGTTAAATATAAAAGATTAGGCCTCTCTGACATTTTTCTCCAACAGCTCTTGCTATGGTTTGAATGTCTGTCCCCTCCAAAACTCACATTGAAATTTAATTATCATTGTGATGGTGTTGAGAGGTGAACATATAAAGGTGTTTAGGTCACAAGGGTTCCACCCTCATGAATGGACTAATGCAGTTATCTGGGGAAAGGGTTCATGGGAGTGGATTCATTATCACAGGAGTGAGTTCACCCTCCTTTTGCTCTCTCTCTCTCTCACCCTTTCTTTGCCGTTTTGTCATGTAATGCCTTCCACCATGTTAAGACGCAGCAAGAAGGCCTTTGCTAGTTGCTGGCAACTTGATATTGGACCTCCCAGCCCCCAGAACTGTGAGCCAATAAGTTTCTGTCCATTATAAATTACTCATTCTGTGGTATTCTGTTATTGCAGCACAAACTGACTAAGCCTTCAATGGCCACAAGAGGGGTAGAGAAAGAGGGTTATCAGGTTGATCCAAGATTAAGAGTTAGCAGAATAAATACAAAAGTAAGGAAAATTGGGGTGAAATGATGATGCAATCTGAATTTGCACAACTAGCAGTTACAAATAAAGTTACATTAACAATAATTTAAAACTGTAGTTACCATCATCCTAATTTGCTTACACAGAACCTTTGACCCTTTGCAAAGTTCCCACCCAATAGTCCTTGAAAACCTCATGTGGTGCTTCACATATGCTGACCAGCTTTCAATCCCATGTTACTTGTCCTAAAAATCACTAGCTCCTTACCTGCCCTCAGTTTCACAGGTGTCTCTCATATACTGCCAGGTATCTACAGAGTGCCTCTAGCTGTCTGGTGCCTGAAGTCAAGCTTGCTCTACAATAGCCTGTCATATCTGCTATTTACTGCTCTGGGCATTACTACTGATATACTGGAGCCCTTACAGTTGCAACCTGGGCAATGCCTTTTTTCCATTTCCCCAGATTTCTAAAAAAAAAAAAAAAAAAAATCTCTTCAGCTACAACCTGCAGTTCCTCTCTCAATATTGGAGCGTAGTTAATGGGAGAAGGCTGAGAAACCAAGGGCATGCTATTCTCCTCATTTTCCCACCTCAGTCATCCATAAGCCATCTTTTCTCCATCACAGACATTTAACTAAAAATCCATGAGTCCTACTAATACTCAAGCCCTTTTACAGTCAAGGTAAAAACTTTACACTGGAAGCTAGAAACTAGGGGATCTTGGTTGAGGTCTAACACAGTAACTCTAAAATGCCCCCTTCAGCAACACACTATATTCCTGTACATTGTCCAGTAAATTCTATTAAAAGTAGGACTGGATATTTATAATACTCATTTTAAAGATCCAAGATATTACCATGTTGGTGGGAAGAGATATGACAAAACAGTAGAAACTGTCCAAGGTCCATCAGGAGTGTTTGAGCAGTAAGGAAAGTTATTGGTGAGATTTCCAAGGAGGCCTGGCGATGGTTCCTCACAAGAAATGTGTGACCTTCGAGGAATATTGAGTGCACTTCAGGAGTGGTGCCCATTCCAATCACATGCCAATAGACTGACTTCCTGTGGCATCCAATCAGACCTGTAAAGTAGGAATAAGACACGTATGGCTAAGAAGTAGAGAATTTGAAATGGAAAATACTTGCTAGGACAGAATGGACAAATTGATCTTAGACACTTTATTGCTACCTTGACTTGTAAACAAATTTATCTAGAATATTGGGCTACTATCAAACCAACAGCTCTTGCCAAGGTCATCAATCACTATCATGCTGCTGAATCCAATGGACATTTTTCAGTCTTTATTTGCATCTGTTGACCATTCATTCCTTCTTAAAACTCTCTCTTCCCTTGGCCTCTGTGCCAACATCTTTCTGGGTTTTTTTCTCCTACTTCTCAGACTGCTCCTTCTGTCTCCTCTCCTGAACTCTTCTGGAACTTCAGGCTCATACAGCCAATCACTTTCTCAACATCTCCACCTAGATATCTCAAAAAACCCACATGTTCAAAACTAAATTTACACTTTTCATCACTTCCTTCTCTTCCAGAGTTTTTTATAACAGTGAATGGCAGCATCCTGCATTCGAATATGCAAGCAAGAATTATCCTTTTTACCATTCTCATCTCCCATATGCAATTTGACACTGACCAGGGCAATATAATCAATAATAGCTAATATTTATTGAGCACTTGTTTAATGTCAAGCACTGTCCGAAGTATTTTACAAGTTTTAATTCATTCATTCCTCATAACAACCCTATGAATGTAGAAACCATTATCATCCATGTCTTGCAGGAGAAGAAATGGATGCCCAGAGAGGTTGATTAATTTTCTCAGTATTTGAACCTAAGTGTTCAGATCCCACACTGGTAACTACAAGGGCACAGCTGCCTCCTATTTTGGCTCGAAAAGCTTTCAAATGTATCTATTTTTTCACTATTACTACTACCACTATCTTAATCCAAGTTACCATTATCTCGTCTGAGCTACTGATAAACTTGTTTTACAGGTCTCCCTATAACTGGTCATATTCCCCTCTAAGACTTTTACCCACAAAGAAACTGGTGTAATATTTCTGCATTCCAGATCTGATTGTAGTATCCACCAGCCTAAAACCCATCGCAGGCTGTCATTTCACATAGAATAAAGTCCAGACTGTCTACTAAGGACTAGAAGGCCCTAGTAGGTTTGATTCCTAATACCTCTAACAGCTTCATCTCACTTTTTTCTCCTACTTCTCAGACTGCTCCTTCTGTCTCCATCTCATTTTCCCAGTTTCAAAGCTAAATTCAAGGGGTACTTGCTTAGGGAAGCCTTCTCTGATTCCCCAGTCTAGGTCAGATTCTTTTATTATAGGCTTACATAGAATTATGTAATTTTCCTTCAGAGTAATGGTCAGTTTGTAATTTTGCATGTATTATTATGCTTATTTGACTACAACCCGTCTCTCCACTATAAGGTATGTGAGAACAGGAACTTGCATGTTGTCAAAACTAATTTCTTTTTTAATTATAAAATTATGCATGTTTATTGTCAAATTACTGGAAAATACAGTAAAGAACTAAGGAGAAAACATCCCCCTCATACTTCATTATTCTCTTGGGTTGCTGAATCTCCCAAATTCCTCCTTTCTGTAGTTTCTGGTTTTACTATAGTACACATTCAGTGACTATTAAGGCCCTCTATATCTGAAAATGTCTTTTTTCTTCCCCCAAAATTGATTCAAAGTTTGACTAAAAATTCTAGGTTCAAAATAATTTCTCCCTTAGATCTTTTACAATATTGCTTAATTATATTGTCAGTCTAATTCCCATTCTTTTGTATGCATCCTGTTTCTCTCAGAAGAAGCTTTTTTTGTTGTTTGTTTGTTTGTTTTTTTGAGACGGAGTCTTGCTTTGTCGCCCAGGCTGGAGTGCAGTGGCACGATCTTGGCTCACTGCAAGCTCTGCCTCCCGGGTTCACGCCATTCTCCTGCCTCAGCCTTCCAAGTAGCTGGGGCTACAGGAGCCGCCACCATGCCCGGCTAGTTTTTTGTATTTTTAGTAGAGACGGGGTTTCACCGTGTTAGCCGGAATGGTCTCCATCTCCCGACCTCATGATCCTCCCGTCTCAGCCTCCCAAAGTGCTGGGATTACAGGCCTGAGCCACCGCACCTGGCCACAAGAAGCTTTAAGTATCTTCTCTTTGTGCTCTGAAATGCTACAATGATAATTTTGTGTGGGGGTCTTTTTATTTATCCTAATGGGCAATTTTATTTTTTAAACTGTATTACTTTTTATTGACACATAAATAATTGTACACATTTATGGGTACAATGTGATGTTTTGATACATGTATACATTGTGTAATTATTCAAATTAGGGTAATTATCATATCCATCACCTTAAATGTTTGTCATTTCTTTGTTGTGAGAACATTCAAAATCCTCTCTTCTATTTGAAATATACAATATATTATTGTTGGCTATTGTCACCCTACTGTGCAACAGAGTACCAGAACTTATTCCTTCTATCTACCTGTAACATTGTACCCATTGACCAACCTCTCCCCATCTCCCACTTCCCCCTAATCTTCCCAGAATCACTAATTTCAACTACTATGAGATCAAATTTTAAAGATTGTACATAGGAGTGATATCATGCAATATTTGTCATTCTCTGTCTGACTTATTTCACTTAACATAATGTCCTTCAGGCTCATCCACATTGTTGCAAATGACAGGATTTCATCTTTTTTAAATGGATGAATAGTATTCCATTGTGTACATAGACCACAGTTTCTTTATCCATTCATCCATTGATGGGCATTTACGTTGATTTTATATCTTGACTATTGTGAATAATGCTGTCATAAACATGGGGATGCAGATGTTTTTTCAACATACTGATTTCATTTCTTTTTGGTACATACCTACTAGTGGGATTGCTAGAAAATATGATAGATCTATTTTTAATTTTTGAGGCATCTCTATACCGTTATCTCTAACGGCTTAACTAATTTATATTCCCACCAACAGTGTATAGGAGTTTCTTTGTCTCCACATCCTTGCTAGCATTTGTTATTTTGTTGTCTTTTTTATAATAGTCATTCTAACAGAGGTAAGTGATATCTCATTGTAGTTTTGATTTTAATTTTCCTGATGGTTAGTGATGTTGAGCATTTTTCATATACCTGTTGGCCATTTGTATGTCTCCTTTGGAGAAATGTCTATTCAGGTCTTTTGCTCATTTTTAATAGGATTATTTGGATTTTTGCTATTGAGTTGTTTGAGTTCCTTATACATTATAGATATAAATCCCTTGTCAGATGTATAATCTGCAAATATTTTCTCCCATTCTATAGGTTGTCTCTTCACTCTGTTGATTGTTTCCTTTGCTGTGCAGAAGCTTTCTAGTTTGATGTAATCCAATTTATTTTTGCTTTTGTTACTCATGATTTTGAGGTCTTGTCTAACAAATTCTTGCCCAAATTGTCTAACACATTCTTGCCCAAAGTGATGTCATGAAATGTTTACACTATGTTTCAAATTTAACTGCTTAATCTATTTTCCTTTCCTTCCCTCCCCTCCCCTCCCGTCTTGTTCCCTTCCCTTCCCTTCCCTTCTCTCCCTTCCCCTGTCTTGTTCCCTCCCCTCTCCTCCCCTCTCTTGTCTCTCTTCTCTTCTCTTTTCTTCTTTTGAGACAGAGTCTCACTCCATTACCCAGGCTGGAGTGCAATAGCACGATCTAGGCTCACTGCAACCTCCACCTCCGGGGTTCAAGTGATTCTCCTGCCTCAGCCTCCCAAGTTGCTGGGACTGTAGGCATGCCACCACACCTGGCTAATTTCGTATTTTTAGTAAAGATGGGGTTTCACCATGTTGGCCAGGCTGGTCTCAAACTCCTGACCTCAAGTCATCTGCCCGCCTTGGCCTCCCAAAGTGCTGGGATTACAGGCATGAGCCACTGTGCCTGGCCTATTTGATTTTCATACATGGTGAGAGATAGGGGGTCTAGGTTCATTCTTTTGCATATGGATATCCAGTTTTCCCAGCACCATTTATTGAAAAGACTGCCCTTTACCCATCATGTGTTCTTGTCAACTATGTAGAATATTAGTTGGCTTTAAATGTGTGGGTGTATTTCTGGGCTCTCTATTTTGTTCTATTGGTCTATATGTCTGTTTTTAAGTCAACACAATGCTGTTTTGGTTACTATAGCTTTGTAGTATAATTTGAAATCAGGTAGTGTGATGCCTCCAGGCTTATTCTTTTTGCTCAAGACTACTTTGGCTATTTGGGATTTTTTGTGGTTCCACACAAATCTTAGGATTGTTTTTGTATTGCTGTGAAGAATGACATTGGAATTTTGATAGGAATTGTATTGAATCTGTAGATTGCTTTGACTTTAATAATATTAATTCTTCAATCGATGAACATGAAATATCTTTTCATTTATTTGTGTCTTATTCAATTTCTTTCATCAATATTTTATAGTTTTCATTATAGAGATATTTCACTTCCTTGGTTAATTTATTTCCGGATATTTTTTGTAGCTATTGTAAACGTGATTGCTTTCTTGATTGCTTTTTCAGATTGTTCACTGTCGGCATACAGACATGCTATCAATTATTGTATGTTGATTTTGTAGACTACAACTTTACTACATTCATTTATTAGCTCTAACAGTTTTTTGGTGTAGTTTTGGCGGTTTTCTATATATAAGATCATGTCATCTGTAAACAGGGACAATTTTTTTTTTTTTTTTTGAGACGGAGTCTCGCTCTGTTACCCAGGCTGGAGTGCAGTGGCAGGATCTCCCCTCACTGCAAGCTCCGCCTTCCGGGTTCACGCCATTCTCCTGCCTCAGCCTCCCGAGTAGCTGGGACTACAGGTGCCCGCCACCTCGCCTGGCTAGTTTTTTGTATTTTTTAAGTAGAGACGGGGTTTCACCGTGTTAGCCAGGATGGTCTCGATCTCCTGACCTCGTGATCCGCCCGTCTCGGCTTGTTTTTGTTTTGAGACAGTGTTTCACTCTGTTGCCCAGGCTGGAGTGCAATCTTGGCTCACCACAACCTCCGCCTCCGGGGTTCTAGTGATTCCCC